TGCAGCCGCAGCGCGCGGTGCCCGACCACCGGCGCGCCCGCCCGCTCGCCTTCTCGCGCCGCCTCTCCGCGCAAAGCCGCTCACGCCGCGCGTACTCAGCCATCGGCGCGACATCACCCCCGCAGGCACCTCGCGACGGGTCGGCGCACTCGTGTGGCTCAACGCGGACCTACGGAGCGACTCCGCCGCGCGGCTTGGCGCTGCCCATGGCAGCAACAGGTGCCGCCCCACCACCCGCCTGCTGCCTCTGCCTCTCTCAGCCATGCGACCCCTCCGCCAATGCACACCTCGAACGCGACGTCAGATCCCGCTGCGACGGGCAACATTCGCGGCGATGAGGCCTCCGCCAGCACTGATCATCACAACTCGTCTGTTAAGCTACACGTTTTTGCCCTGTGCAGGTGTTCGGACCGCTGCAGCCACGGTGGAGCCACGGGTCGGGCGAGGGAATGGCCTTTTGGCGCGGCGCTGCTCTGTGCCTGCGCGCTCATGGCGCGTTCAGGGGTGCGCCTGCGGTGTGTAGACTGCGGGGCGCCGCGATAGCGCGGCGCCGACGATTGTGTCGCTCATTGTCACACCAACAACCCGGTCACAGTGTGTGTGTGCAGTCTGCAGTGCGTCCACTCCGGCGACCGTGACGCCGTCGGCGCTCGTCAAAAGCATCTACTGTGGAGCTCTAAGTGTGGTTGCGTGTTGTACTAGTGGTGCTGCACTAGGCGGCCCGTTTTTAGCAAAAAGCAGATACCACATCGCGCGTGGTCATCGAAAAACCGCATAGATGGCGTCGAGCAGCTCGCTCGAGTCATCGAGCCCCCAGCCGAGCTCGCCGGCCTTGCCGGTGAGCCAGCGCGCCGGCTCGGAGAAGATGTACTTCCAAAGCACATTGACTCGCAAAGCCGCTGTCATCTCGTTGCAGCTCAACACGGTGAGGAGGAAGTTCTCCAGCTTGTTGTCCGCGCCCGGGACCTTCAGAGCTAGGGAGTGTTGCGATGGCCGCCCAAATGCGAACGCAGGAGATAAAATGCTTTGCGGCGACGTTCCGTGGGTAGGATCAAGTCGCCGCTTGCTTTAATAATAGTCTACGCGCGTCCTCGGGGCCAAGGCGCAGTCCAGCTGTCTGAGGGAGAGAGTCTCCCTCGCTGCGCGTTTCGAGCGCAACCTGGCAGACGGAGTCGGGGCGCTCCCGCACGCGTGCCGGTGGGGAGCTCCGCTTGCCGCACGCCTGCTTTTCGCTGCACAAGCTTGTGCTGTGAATCCCCAGGGCCTCCAGGGCTCGCACCTCAACCTCTCACAGACCAACGCACAAAACGTATTTTCTTCTGAAAAACAAGGCTGTGAACAGCGTCTCAGATCGCTCTTTGAGACAAAACCTCCCCCCCGCACAAAACCGCCCCCCCCGATCGAGTGAGATCCACGGTATATGCGTGCAACGCCCTGCCGCGCCCGCCGCCCAACGCGAGGGCCGGGGCCCCGCGCCGCTGAGCCCGCCCCCCGCCACCCCCTCTCCCTCCCCTCCCTCTCCCTCCCCGCCCGCGCGACGCGTGCAGGGGCTCGCGCCACCGCCCGAGCCGCGCCTCCGCCCTCCCCCTGTACTCCGTCGCAGCGCGATCCCCGGCCAGCATGATTGCGTGCCACCGCGCCCGCACCGCGCCCTGCCGCGCCACGCCCGCGCCAGGGCTCCGGGACTGCGCCGCCCGCTCCGCGCTGGAATTGCCCATGCGGCCGCCGCCGCATCCTCAATTTCTCCGCTCATCGGACACACTGTCCGTCCAATCAGGTGCCGAGTCTGAGGTGCGCCTCGCTCTTCATCTCCATCTAGATGCCTCCACCCTTCCAACCCGTCCCCACAAAGAAACGCAAACACAGCCCACTTCCCTGGCGGGGCGCGTACCACGGCTTCGCGCGAGTCGCGCGGCCTCCCGAGCGTCGACATCGCCGGCGCCCCTC